GAGCAAGCCTGCTCTCCTGGCATTGCTGTGCCAGCGGTGAGCAAGGGAGAGGCTGTCTGTGACTGTTCCCACTGCTCAGCTGGGGTGCAGGGAAGGCGGATGGGCTCCTTCCACTGGGTCTTCCTGGGAAGAGGCCTGGCTGAATGTTCCCCCTGGCCCACAGCCCCCCCCCCCCCCCCCCCATGGTGCACTGCCCACGCTGGGCATGGGAAGGTGCCACAGGGCAGGTTCCAGCACCCCTGAGCTCCACACGGGCATCTCCTGCCCTGGATGCTGTGGTGGTGGCCAGGATTCAGTTGCTCAGCCTCATTTGCTCCTGAGCATGCGAGGCCCAAGAATAGGTTCTTTTGTGGATAGCATGCCATAGCTTGTTCGTGCAGCTGGGTTCAGGCATGATAATGCACAGCTTTACAACAACCCATGCTCAACCATACTCTGCTCTTATTGCCTGAACTCAATTGGTGATGGGGGACATCACCTTAGGCAGCAGAATGACCCAGTTCAGATGTCAGAGCAGCCCACCATGCATAAGTCAACCATCAGCCTGCCTCAGCACAACACCTGCTATTATTTATTTAAGACACAGCCTCAGGATGGCTTACATGAATAAATTATAATGGGCCGGGTGCCATGGCTTGTTGTGTCATCCAAATCCAGACAGTATGATGGCTAAATAACCCTCACAAAACCCACCGGCTCTTTTAGGCTAATGTGCAGGTTGTTACATGGCCAGGTTTGGATGACACAACAAGTCATGGCAACCCCCAGCCAGGGATTGCTTCTTGAAAGCAGTGGTTTACACATGCCAGTCCTTTACAGTTTCGGCTTTTATTGTATTTTTGTGTTTTTATTGTCTGTTTTATGGATTGTTGTAAGCTGCCCAGAGAGCTTTGGCTGTGCAGTGGTATAGGAACGAACAAACCGACCCATGGTGTGCTGTCATGCCAAGCTAACTGGCCCGGTGTTTTGGGACAATCCTGGCTCAAAAGAAAAAGCAACCCAGACACGGACTTGTTGACCTTGCAAGGACAACTTGTTCTTGCAGTCCTTCCAAGGGGCTCATTTCCACTCCTCAAGCTGACTGGCCACCCAGCTAGCCTTTCAAACTAGACCAGCACTTTCTCATTTTGCTTATGCTATTCATTCGGGATATTTAAGTTGAAGGTCTGCCAGATTTTTTTTTAACTGGGAAGGTGAGCTTCTCACATGACAGGCATTGTCAGTGAAAGCACCTGGGTTCTACTAGTAGGGTAGAGAACACATTTACTTGTCTTATTTCTGAAAAGGATGGGGGAGTTTGCTGGGGTTTTTTTATTTAAAGGGACCAGATATATACTTATATTCATCTGAATGCACACCTCAGAGCTTGCACTAGTGGGCATATGCCTTAATTGCAGTTCTTTATTTGCTGAAAAGATTTCTATGCTACCATTTATTAGCAAATTCTAGGATGGTGTATAAAATTTGTTAAACCATTAATTAAATCAAAACACACATCCACACTAAAAAGGCTCAGTAAGCCAGGCATTTAAAATCAGCAAATGCTTGGCCAAACAACTGGGTTTCTAGCAGGCACCAAAACACTATCAGGGCAGGTTCCAGGTGTACTGTAGGTTGATGCCCCACCAAAGCTGTGGAGCATCTGAACTAAAAGGCCCTCCCCCTGGTTGCCTTGCACAGGTATTGAGAACCAGGAGTCCCTGATCTGTAAATTGTAATCAACTGGCCTTTTTCCTGCAGGTTCACAATCTGCTCCAGCTGCTGAACCAGTTAATTGAGGGACCTGAGCAGTGCCGTGGTCCCGTGGGGCCCCTCTGCCTGCCCATGTGAAATGGTTGGCTGTATTAAGTCAGCTGCTTGCGGTCAAAGCACGCCTCCTGCCTGGGCTGCCTTCAGAGGGGAGTGGGCCCATGGCTGTGTGCTCTCTGATGGACAGGGCTGATCGTGCCATTAGGCAGGCCGATGGCAGCATCTGCAGACCTCCTTGCTTCCTCTTCCGGAGTTGCTGGCCATTCCCATTGGTCGGCGGTCAGAGCCATGTATGCTGCACAGCCTGTCTCTGGCGCCCTACAGGACTGGTGATACACACGGTCCTGTCACTCATGTTGAAGGAAGATCCAACTGCCAGTCCAGTTTTCTATGCAGGGAATGGTCACCACCCTGCCTTGCACCTGAGATGGCAAAGTATCTCAGGTAGGCCTCTTCTTAGGTTAAAGAGCCCCCTCCTGTGTGGGTGAGCTTCAGCAGTTACCTGTGGCCATGGGAGGCTGCTGTAAATAGTCCTTGTACTTACGTATTTTAGCCTCATCTGTGCTGCTTACATGAGTCAATATCAACCACCTGAACCCACATGATCAAGGGGCCATGGGATGGTGGTGCTGGCCTTCCCTCCTTAAGCTGTGGAACTATTACACTGCTCCACACCGACAATTATGAGAGCAGGGTACAATAAGTGAAAAGTTTATTAACATATAGGAAAAAAGTAGAAATAGATCAATAAAACAGGAGCTGGAATTTACTCAATCACCAGGAAATACTTGCCTGAAAAGACAAGACTTCATTGAATCTTTAAAGTAGGGGAGACACATGCCTGCTCACCTGTGGAAAAGCAGGAGGTGCCACACTGAAGACTCTGCTCCGGCTGGGATGTGGATGTCTGAGAAGCCTGGACTGGACAGGGCATTGTGCAACACAGCGAGGCTGTGGCCAGGGCCAAGAAAAGGCATGCCAGCTTGGACAGCAGGGCTAGTACACATTGCTCTCTGATTGCATGCAGGGTCCCCTTCAGGCAACATACACATGAAGGGGACTAATCTCTCTTTCATTTCACAGCCATTCAGTTTCTTTCTGTCTTTCTCTAAATTTACACAATTTAACAAGCAGGGCTTTCCCAGGAGAAATGTTTTCATTCCTCCATATGGAGAACCACTGATGTGCATGATCCTTTAGTGTGAGAGAGAAGCTCCCTGCCCCACGCAGCACATGCTCTAACACACGCACTGGCTTGGACAATTTAAGTCATTAAAGAACCCCCGAGACTTTCTGTTGCATTGTTTACAGCAACCTTTCCCAGCTTGGCACCTTTCAGATGTGGTGGACTACCATCCCCATCTTTCTCAGCCAGCATGGTCACTGCCTCAGGCACATTGTGTTGGATACAGCATGGCCACTGTATTTTATACATTTGTTGGGGTATCCCAGGCCATGACGACTGGGCATAATGGGATTAGTAGTCCAGCGTGCTACATCTGGAGGGCACCAGCTGACAGAAGGTGCCCTCTGCACGGTTGCCTTTCAGAACCATTCCCAAATGAAAAGGTTACAACATACCACTCTTCCCAGGTGTCACTAGAATGCATGGAGTTGGATGGGGGAGGGTAAGCATTCAGGAGCAAACACACACACACACAGACAGAGCCTTTTTCTTGCATGGTAATTTACATAATCTGACTTTCCATTTTACCCTCACAACAACCCTGCGAGACAGGCTAGGTGGCGAGTGCATGACTGGCCCAAAGGCACTCCGTGAGCTTCATGGCCTAGTGGGGACTAGGACCTGGATCCTCACATCCCACGCATTAACCACTAGGCCACCCTGGCTCTTGGCGCACATCGTGCTAGTTCACACGCAGGGCTCCTTGGCCCCAAAGGGACGAATGGTGGCGCGTTGTTGGCATGCCCTGGCTGGATTTTACTCCGCACACCCAAAGGACGAACGCTCAGCCACCCTGCATCCATCGGGATGGCGAGCCGCCGCACCCGTCGTCGCAGCATCGTTCGGGTGGGAGCGAAGCAGCCCGCCTTGGCGGGGCACCCGGCTCCGGGAGCGCGGCCGCTCGAGCACCGAGCCCTTCCCGCTCCCTTCTACGTGTTGCTGCGCCACCCGGGCTCGCTCGCTCGCTCGCTCGCTCGCTCCAGTTGCGGCGGGGCGTGCTCCGACCTGCCGCGGCGTTCCCCCGCCTCCCCACCCCGCGCACGCACCGCAGCGCCTCACCTGCCGGGGCTGCCCCACGACCCAGCCCGGCGGCAGGCCCCTCCCCGCGCGGGCGCGCCCTGCTCCCGGGCCGCAAGGCGAATTCGGGGAGGGAAACGAAAGTGTGTCGCGCCGGCGAGCAGAGGAGGCGCAATGCCCTTTCCAACTTAAACCTGCGTCTTTTGCAGCTTTTAAAAACAAATCTCGACTTCTCATGTGATGCCGACTGCCTGCCTCAGAAAGATGCTTGCAAGCCTGGCTTGTCTCTTTCTGGCAAGGCCGGTCTTTCGAGCGAGAATCGCCGCCGCCGCCGCCGCTCATTCCTCGGAGCCTTCTAACAACCGGACGTCTATTTTGGATGGGCTAAATTTATCCTGCGGGTTCTCCTGCCTGCCTTCTTTTCAGTGAAGGAACGCCGAAAGAAATGCCCTGATCAGGGGGCCGCAGGACTGCCCACGCCCAGCTCCCCGACGGAGCCCCCACCCACCCCCGCAACGCGAAATCAAGAGGCGAGGCGACTCCGGATCCCCAAAAACGCGACGCTGCTCCTCCGCCGTCGCAGATTGTGCGAGCGGAGGGGGGCAGAGGGAAAAGGTAGCGAGGAAATCCGCGCTCGCGCTCGCATTGGTTCCCCGCCCGTGCGTTTTGCATAGCCACGCCCCCTCCCTCGCCTTCTTTGGTAGTTGGGGTTTGCGGACTAGTGCGGTGCAGGAGCCGGAGAACTGAGGAGGAAGGAGACAGGGGCGGCCGCCGCCGCCGATGCGTCCGCTGTGCCTGCTCCGTTCCCGCGCCGAGGAGCGAGCGAGGGACGCGGGCTGCGACGCCTTCGCCTTCGCCTTCCCCTCTGCCGCCAGCGCGCGGGGATTTCCTGGTTTCGCGGGGCGGTGGATGCGCCCGACGCGCGCGCCGAGCGAGGAGGCTCGCGAAGCCGAGTCCGGGCTCGGAACTCGCCCCCTTCCCCTCCAACTTTCTCTTCTTTTTTGGGGAAAAAGAAAAGTTTCCTGCTGGTGCAGCATGAAGTGCAGAGATGGCAAGAAGAGGTAAGACGGTGGCGAGGACGCTGGAAGATCTGACGCTGGACTCGGGTTATGGTGGCGCGGCGGACTCCGTCAGGTCCTCCAACTTGTCCCTGTGCTGCTCCGATTCCCCCCACGCGGCGCACCCCTATGGAGGAAACGGCTGGCAGCCGCCGCAGCCGCAGCAGCATCTAACTGACTCGATGCACAGTCGACACAACAGCTTCGACACCGTCAACACTGTCCTGGTGGAGGACTCCGAAGGGCTGGACTGCGCCGGGCAGCACTGCTCCAGGCTGCTGCCTGACCTTGACGAGGTCCCCTGGAGCCTGGACGAGGTGGAGGCTCTCCTCCTGCAGCGCAAAGAGTCCCGGGGGCTGGGGGTGGCCGCCGCCAGCGCCAGCAGCGCCGCCAGCTCCGGCGGCGGCAGCCCTCCTCCCAAAGATGGCTTGGCCAGGCTCTCCACCTTGGTCAGCCGGGCGCTCGTCCGGCTGGCCCGGGAGGCGCAGAGGCTGAGCCTGCGCTTCGCCAAGTGCACCAAGTACGAGGTGCAGAGCGCCATGGAGATCGTCCTGGGCTGGAGCCTGGCGTCCAGCTGCACGGCGGCCGCCCTGGGCGCCCTGTCCCTCTACAACATGAGCAGCAGCGGTGGCGACCGCTTCAGCCGGGGCAAGTCGACCCGCTGCGGCCTCACCTTCTCGGTGGGCAAGTTCTACCGCTGGATGGTGGACAGCCGGGTGGCCGTGCGCATCCACGAGCACGCCGCCATCTACTTGACCGCCTGCGTTGAGAACCTCTTCCGAGAGATCTACGGCAGAACCCTGCAGACCGGCGCCTCGGCGCCGCCCCACCAGCACCAGCACCCGCACCACCAGACCCAGACGCAGCCGCCGCCAGCGCCGCACCAGAACAACCCCGCTCAGCCGCCGCCGCTGCCGCCGCACCACCACCACAGGGGGCCGTGCTCCGGCGCGGGCGCCCCCTCTGCCGCCGCGCTCCCGCCGGCCGCCGCGGCCGCAGACAACAAGGACCGGGAGAGCAGCAGCAGCGGCAGCAACGCCGCCTCCGCGGCCGCCGCCGCCGCCGCCTCCAGCGAAGCGCCAAAGTTTACGCTCGAGTCGCTGGAGCAGACGGTCAACAATGACTCGGAGTTGTGGGGGCTGCTGCAACCCCACCAGCACCTCATCTGCGGGAAGAACGCCAGCGGTGAGTCAGGCAGGCTGGCAGGCGCTGCGCAGGGCCCTGCCCACCTGTTGTGTGGTGCCAGGGAGGGAGGAGGGGAGCGGAGCGCGACCTGGGGAGGGCTGCAGCTTTGCGCGCGGGCTGGCTGGCGGCGTTGGGCCCTGCCCATCCCTTCCCTTCCCATCCCATCCCGGAGAGAGACGGGTGCGCTCTGCGCGTCCAGGGGCCGCGGAACGAGGAAGACGCTCGCTCACACGTGGACACGTGCGCACAGGCACGGCGGAGAGGGGTCCTTTTTAAAATGGGTAACACTTGCCTTGGTCAGTGCAGAAGAAGAGACCAAGTTGATCTTATCAGGCAGGGAAGGATCCACCTGTCGGGCTCCAGAGCGGCGCATGCAAGTTTGTTGCCAGCCCAGTGCAGAGTTGCTTGAGAGGAACTCTGAGACCTTGCAGAGGGGCTGCCATTAGTCTGTTGCTGCAAAACCAAGGAAAAGAGCCTCGTGGCACCTTCCAGCAGACAGGGTGTGGCCCCTGTTGACATCTTGGAGGGCAAGTCCTATTAGTCCTGACCGGTGGCCATGGGAGTCCAGCAACACCTGGATGGCCACAGGTTCTCTAGCCCTGGATTATGGCTGAAGCCATCCACATGGCACCCTCCATTTGTATGGAACTGCAGGTCCCATCTGCTGCAGGCAGCAAGTCAGGCTGTTCAGGAATGATGGAAGATGTGATCCAACACATCTGGAGGGAGGCAGATTAAGGGCTTCCAATGAAATGGGAGCCTTGTCCACGGACACCTTTGCCGTATCAAAACTTTGCAGTAAATTGAATGTGGAGCAATACATGCAAACTGCTTTTAGCTTGAAATCATCTCCGTTGAACTTAGTGGAACTTATTTCTGAGTGGTCATGAATAGACTGAGGTCACTTTTGTGAAAAGTCATTGCATTTCTTTCTTGTGAAAAGTTGGAGTAGTTTAATAACATTCTTGGAATGGGGAGAAGGCCAATGGGTTATTTTTCATTTCCATTGCTCTCATTGAAGCTAATCTTATATCAATAGGGCATTGATTGGACTTGATTTCTCCTCATCTGTAGCAATGGAATGACAAGCCAGAATTACAAGCTGTATTCCCAAGGCTGCCTCCCCGCTCTCTCCATGTAGCAGGACAGACAGAAATCCCAAAGGGTGGAGTTGTTGAATTTCTACATGACTGAATTGAATAAGAAGGTGACAACCCCATTGAATTGCATGTAAAGGTTGTAGAAGTTTTATCATGTGCCTACTGGTAGTACTTATGGTAGTGGAAAGCTGTAGAGTGATGCCCCCTGAGACTACCATCTGTGTGGTTCTCTCAAGGCTGTAGCTTAAGCCCACTGTTGGTATTGCTGTTGGAGGGAGCTGTACTCTGTGTCTGTCTTTGGTGGAGACCTGTATCCCGTGGTTGGCTTTGGGGAAGGCTGTGTCCTGGAGAAATTGCTGTAGGATGGTACTTGGAAAGTCTGCATCCTCTGTCTTCCCAGCCTGTATTGGAGAAGGCGGTGCAACATTCTTGTAACCATCTTCATGGTTGGAATCTGTGCCCCATAGTGCTAGTGTTGCGGAGGAAGGTTGTACGCACTGTGCCAAGGGCCGAGGAGTATATCTGTCCCAAGATATCTCTTGTGCAGTGCTGAAAAAAGGGGTATGTTTTGTCTCTGGTCATGCTAGATATGTTTGTACTCATGTTATTTTGGGTTACTTCTAAGGGATAATATTATACTTGATGCTATTAAACACTTGTGTTGCTAAGAGCCATGCACCCAGGTGCGATGTTTCATAAATGTGTTGGGCTGGAACTACAGTAACCCCAGTGGCTGTTGATTATGGGAGTTGCAGTGTAACACATCTGGAGTGTACCATGTTGAGGAAGTCTGCCTGAGTACTTGTAAAAGGTTGTATTTTGTCAATGTAGGCAGACACTGAGAAATATTGTGCCACTGCAAAGTGCATGGCTGTACTCCATGTTCACTGACTGAACATGGCCAGTGTGCTGGAGGGTTGTACTTTTGTTCTCTTAGTAATTCTGGGGATGACTTTACCTGTGGATGACTCCACCTTTTTCATCTTGCTAATTTCTTGCTTCTATATTCCTTGCAATCTTTTACTCTCATTGTCACAGGACAATGTGAGTAAATGCCCACCATGCACCTCCTCTGCCTCCCTCAAAGCTGGGGGAGCTGAGCTCCTTGGTTACACCAAAGCCCACATGAATTTTCAAGCTTCTTAGGTGTATATGAACAATGAGGAGCAGCAGGTTTTGTACAATGCAACAGGTGGGACCCAGCCAAGGAGCTCAGGTTATCACATCATTATCACAAACAATTTCTGAATAGCATCAGCTATCACTGATGAATCTTTATCACTACTCCCCAAGTTGATTCAAACAATCTCTCTTTTGTAGCTAAGATAAGTGCAGAAGTACTTTATGCTCATTGTATGCATTGTGGGGTCTTTCTCACTTGCACAATTAGGTCATTTTAGACCTTGGACTTGATGGTCTCCCAGGGACAGGCGCCTTCGATGGTGATGTGCGTTGCTTTCCTTACTTCATACATCTATGTTGTGGGCTCGCTTACTCATTCTTCTGAGTGGGCCCTGAACACTTGTCTCAATTTTCTTCCGTAAGAGTACCACAGGTTTTTCCCACTGTAATGGTTCCCACATTTGTCTCACAGCTAATTTGGAAGAGTACACTCCTCAACTTGACTAGTCTGGAAAGCGTACAATTCTGTGGTTTCAGTGGTGGATGGAAGGTTAGCACAATTCAGGTAAGGCATATCTCTTGACAGGTGACACAAAAAAGGACATGCTTGAAATATGAATATTGTCCCCAACAAATTCTAAAAAAGGGCTTCCTGTTCATTCAGACTGCATTACAACATCCTCATGTGCACTCAAGCAACATAAGAGGTGTCCAGCAACCTACAGGGTAAAATCCCTATATAAAGTCATTGCTGTCTTCCTTCTGTTGTCTTAGCATCTCAGCAGTTTCTCTGGGCAGGACATTGTGGCAGCCTGCAGGTTGGGGCTTAAGGCAATTATGAATAAGCCTCAGGCTCACTGCCTTGGCGTTCCAGTTTTCTGGATCATTTTGAGAATGCTCGGTGGGGTTTATATGGGTGGCAGAATCCTACTTTGAAAATGCACCTTTCAATAGTCTCCCTATTAGACTTTATTCCCTTCTTGTTTGTTTGTTTCTACTTTTTCATGTTCCAGATCTGTGAAATGTGATGAGGATCTGTGATGTGACATTGGGCTTTCTTACTGAGATTAGCCCTCTTCTATCATCGCCTTTTCCATGAATCCCATTCCCAGGCATCTGTGCTTTGCTGTCAGAGAACAAGGTTTCAATCATACAGATCTAGGTAGAGAAGTGGACTTGACATGGGGAGCAATGTTTTTCTTGTGCATCTCCCCAAATGTGTGCAGTTTTATCAACGGACTGGTGATGTAGGTATGAGGGTGGGCAAGTCAGGGAGTGTCTGATGTGCCCAGCTTTAGCTTTCCTTTTGGTGTGTGTGGGGCTAAGGACAGTCCCCTTCTTCACCCAGATGGGGTCCATCCTCTCATAGTACCTCAGAACTGCAGCAACAGTGGATTGGGGGAGAGGGGGGAAGATTGCTAGTAAGGCACTGGGGAGACAGATTGGGAGTGTGTGCATGTGTGCGTGGTGGAAACATTGTTGGACACTATTTTGCAATAACATTTATAGTGAGCTTGTCTGACTGAGAGGCTCTGTTTTATCTTTGTGTATATTTTTGGACAGGCTTCCTTCTCATATGTTTCAGCTGCATACAAACACACTTCAAAAGCCTTTGTTTTTGCACAGGAAACGGTAGAAGTGTCACTGAACCTGTGTGTGTGTGTGCATGAGAGAGAGAGGGAGAGGGAGAGGGAGAGGGAGAGGGAGAGGGAGAGAGAGGAGGAGGAGGACAAGACATAAACTTCATTATATAGCAGTTGTTTGGTCAGCCAGCTCCTGCATGTCGGGAGCTCAGAGACACAGTCTTTTACTGGGGAGACTTTATTCATGCTGCTGCTTGTTTACTGAAAGCTTGAAGCAAAAGATGCAACAAAGATGATGCATCAGCTTCCCTAGGATAGAATCAGCATCATCATCATTTCATAAATTTTCCATAATGCTTTTGCTCCCTTGTTGTCAAATCCAGGGATCTTCAGTACGGGAAATGTATCATGTCATTCAGATGCAGTGATAGCACAGGCAAAAAGGAGTGAGCGAGGCTGCAGTACTGTGTCAACATTCCATGGAATCTCACTCTGTTTGTCTCACTGTGTGTCTCTCTTTCTCCGAGAGACGCACACTCAGATATATACTTGGAGGCAAAACCAAAATCAAAACAACCTGAGACATAGAATGCTAGAATCAAGGGAATAAAATGGAACAGCTGCCTAGAATCTCCTTTGCTTTGTTAGCCTTAAGAAATCTTCAAATTACCTGTTATTTTAAGACACCTTTAAAGGACACAGAATGATATTTATTCAAGAGTGGGGAGTTGTAATATGTAACATATTCAACACTGTATATTGCATTTGTTTTCCTTTCTGACATACTGCATTATATTTGGATATATTTCAGCAGGGTCTTTTTATGGCTGTGCATATAGTCCACAGCAAGGCACTAAAGCCTCAGGAAGTATTATTGCATTTGCTCACATTAATCCTACTCTTGCCTTTTCCATTCTTTCTGTTCTCTTTGCAGCTGTTGAAATTTAGTGAAAGCTCTTCTGAACATTGACAGATCTCTTTTCTGTTACTCTCCAATGCCCTGCATGCACACACTGCTTTGTACTATCTCTGGCTCTCTCTGTATGTAAGGTCCTGTTATTCTATCCAATTCTCCTAAATGTTGCCATACTCTACCACAGGGATGGGCAAATTGTAACCTTCCTGATGTTTCTACCTGCAGCTTCCATCATCCTTCACCATTAATTATGTTGGCCAGGGCTGATGGGATTCATAAGTTGCTCACGCTCGTTCTAGTATGATTAAGAAACGGGACATGGGGAAATCCAGATTATTGGTTGTAGTTGAAACATGGGTTATTATGTTGTTGCAACCCAGCCCAAATTGTGGTGAATATCCACAGTTCACACCGCAACAACTTTGGGTTCTGCTCATGGATTGTTCATGGGTAACAAATTGTGGCTTGGTGGTACAAGGGGTTCAGACAATATAATAACCTACATTTCAACAACAGCTCGTACGCAGTTCTTGAGTGTGGGTTATCATTTCATCTTAGTCAAGTCAGTTTTGGCATGCTGCCTCCCTGCAAACTCCAACTGCTCACTGAGATGGTGGAAGTTTTGTCATTGCCCTATCTAATCAGCACCATGAACCTCATGCCAACACTATCCCTCCCAACTTGGTTAACCCTGCATGTGCCAAGGGTCCCTTTGGTATTCCTCTCCCAGGCCCCACTACCTGGGCTTGATATCCCTAAGACAGTGGTCTGAGTAAACCTGTTTCACCCTAGGCCTGAAGTTTCACTGTGCTCCTGCCAGAGTTTACTGACCCCTCTTTATCAGCACTGTCTCTGCAATTTTAGCCCTATAACAACCTTCCCTGGAAGTGTTGGACTACAACTGCCATGACCACCAGCCATTGGTAATGCTGTCTGGGGAAGAGAGAAGTTGAAGCCCAACACATCTGGAAAGTGCATCAGGTTGTAGAAGGTTACCTAACATTGTTTTAAATTGTGCTTAATTTCTTTGTTTTATTATTGTTGTTAGCAAGTTTTATTAGTGATTGTAAGCTATCTTGAGTACTATTTTTGGTAGAAAGCCAAATAAATAAATGGCAAACACTAATAATGAAGCTCTCTCTATAAAAACTCTTTCCCACTGAATAGTACATGTTACATGGGAGAGGTGAAGGCTTAGGCAGGTTGTGGTAGAAGAGGAATCCTTATTTGGTTCCAAAATCATGGCTAACCCTATAAAGTATCTAATGGGAGGGTATGTGGTGACTGCAAACTTGTGCCTGCTGGGGATGGACCTTCTGCTTAAACTACAGGCATTCCTACCCCATTGACTGCTGACCCATGGAGCCATTCTGGCTGTCCATATATGTGCGCCCTGCCCTGCCTAGCTGCTCTGTGAGCAGGAAAAGCATTGTGATCTTCCTGCTGTTTCCCAAAGAGGCTGACTTTCACACTTCAGCAGTGGATACCTGAAACTGTGGATAGTAGCAAACTCTACACTGTACATGCCTGTGATAAAGTTAAATATATAAATTAGGCACAATAAGTCATTGCAACACAAACCTAGAAAGCGCCAGTTACGAGTATGGCAGGAGGCTGGCAACCGGCCCTCTACTCCACCGCTTCCAAAGCTCTGCCTGTCAGCCAAGACCGGGCCTTAACTTGTCCCTCTCTCCCACCTCCAGGCCTTTTCCTGAGTGCCTGTCCCGCACTGCCCCATAGGGGAGCTGCTACTGCCAGCTCCCCCCGCCCCCCATGCATATGCTGTGGTCCCAGGAGAGACTGGGTGAGATCGTCTGACTCCAGTCAGCCAGTTAAGCAGGAATGCAGTCGCTGACTCAGCGGATATGGCAGTTCTGCTGAACTGGGTTTTCAGACTGTCTAAGGGTTTCAGGGAGCAGA